CTTGCTAAGTTTGAAATTACAGTAACAAATTATTAAAAATTGCTTTTGCGCAAGCATAGTTCTCAGTTTTCATTAGGTTTATGTATGTTGTTAACTGTGGACTCCAGAATGATGTGTTGCAGAATTCCACTGTGTCACAGCTAGTGACGGAATGGTGTCATGTCAAATCTATACAATTTGTGAAGAAATATAGTTGTAGGACTTTGTAGTTCCATAGATGACTTTGTGTATTTCTAATCAGGTGCTTCAGTTTACTGCAGTGTGCAAACTTTATTACATATTTTATTATTTTTAAAATAATTACAAATATGTATAAATATCTTCTTTCCTATCAGTCAGAAAGACTTTGACAAAGTCCCATACCAAAGGCTCTTGAGTGAAGTAAGCAGTTAGGGGAGAAGAGGGAAGGTCCTCTCATGGATCAGTAACTGGTTAAAAGACAGGAAACAAAGGATAGGAATAGATAGTCAGTTTTCACAGTGGAGAGAGGTAAATAGCTTGGTCCCCCAAGGATCTGTACTGGGACCAGTGCTGTTCAACATATTCATAAAGGATCTGGAAAAGAGGGTAAACAGTGAGGTGGCAAAGTTTGCAGACGAGACAAAATTACTCTAGATAGTTAAGTCCAAAGATGACTTGCTAAGAGCTACAAAGGGATTTCACTAAACTGGATGACTGGGCAACAAAATAGCAGATGAAATTCAGTGTTGGTAAGTGCAAAGTAATGCAAATTGGGAAACATAATCCAAACTATACATACAAAATGATGGGATCTAAATTAGCTGTTACCTCTCAAGAAAGAGATCTTGGAGTCATCGTGGATAGTTCTCTGAAGACATCTGCTCAGTGTGAAACAGCAGTCAAAAAGCTAACAATGTTAGGAGCCATTTAAAAAGGGATAGGTAAATAAGACAGAAAATATCCTTATGCCACTATACAAATCCATGGTATGCCCACATCTTGAATATTGCATGCAGCTCTGGTTGCCCCATCTCAAAAACAAACAAACAAACAACCTACTAGAATTTGAAAAGGTACAGAGAATGGCAAAAAAATAGTTAGGTGTATGAAACAGCTTCCATAAGGGAACAATTAAAAAGACTGGGAGTGTTCAGCTTAGAAAAGAGACAACTAAGAGGGGATATGATAGAGGCTATAAAATCATGACTGGTGTGGAGAAAATGAATAGGGAGGTGTTATTTACCACTTCATATAACACAAGAACTATGGGTCACCAAATGAAATTAATAGGCAGCAGGTTTAAAACAAACACAAGGAAGTATTTCTTATCACAATGCACAGTCAACCTGTGGAATTTGTTGCCAGGGGATTTGTGATGGCCCAAACTATAACTGGATTAAAAAAAGAATTAGTTAAGTTCATGGAGGATAGGTCCATCAGTGGCTATTAGCCAAATGTCAGGGACACAACCCCATGCTCCGGGTGTCCCTAAACCTCTGACTGCCAGAAGCTGGGACTGGACCATAGGGGATGGATCACTCAATAATTGCCCTGTTCTGTTCATTCCCTCTGAAGTATCTGGCACTGGCCACCGTCGGAAGACAGGACACTGAGCTAGATGGACCATTGGTCTGACCCGGCATGGCCATTCTTATGTTCTTACATTAATCAATCACAATAAATAATAAAACAGAATTGGACAAATACAGGATTCACAGCCCTATATTTTTATTTATTTTTAAGAAAAAAACCCAAAGAAATTAAATGCAAAAAATGGTATTAACGAATTAGGGTTACCACTTTAAATAGCAAAAAAGCTATGAAATGCCACTGTTAAGGTTCGCATAGTAACAAACTTGCTTTCATGGAACATGCAGAATATTTTGGATTATAATTGAAAATATAGGTTATGAAATATGGGACAATTCAATGTAGCTTTGTAAACCTAAGCATTTGTATTTCTTGAGTTTTAACAATTTTTTCAGCTTCCAGCCTTACCCGTTGCATTCATGCAGGCCTTTGAATACAATTGTGGTTTGTGCTGTTTCTGGTCAGTGCTTTCTTTCCATGTGTGACATTAGTGACACTGGAACTGAAGGCTGCAGTGTAATGCTAACCAGTCGGAGAGGGAAATCCGAAGGCGTTTGTCCCATCTTTTGTACACGTCTTTCCCTCACTGGTCTCCTCCTCCATATTGCAGATAGCTGTGCTCTCTCTGTGAATTTGGAGGCATAAAGAGCTGGATTCACAAAAGAATGCAGATGCCTAACTGCTGCCTTAGGCACCTAAATCCCAGTGGTGTTCACAAAAGCCCTGTAGGCAGGGGGGCTGGAACAATTTGTATAGTGGGGGAGCTGAGAGCCATTGAACCAAACTGTAAACCCTGCTTGTGATGGAAACCACTTCAAGCCAGGGGATGCAGGAGCACCCCCAGCCCCCCTAGTTCCAGCACCTATGCCTGTAGGTCCCCAAGCTCACTCACTGCCTAAATTTTTGCAGTCAAAGTTCCCTAGGCACCTATGTTTCTGCCTCTGCACATACGTACTGCAGCCCCACACCAGGCACCCAGGCACCTAAGCCCCAGAGCGATTCACAAAAAAATTGGCATCCTTCTACCTAACTCTACACAGAGACTTGTTGGAGCAGGGGGACTGGATCCTGGGTGAATGCTTTAACCACCCGGCTATCGAGCCATGCCTGTGTTTGCACTCTGTCTGGCCCAGTGACTCTTTCTGTATCCACAGGGGAACAGCTTCAGCAGGAGAGACTGAGGGATCATCCCACCTCGGTGCTTAGCGCATGCATGTGCGAGGTGGGAAACCCCAGTTTAAATCCCTTTTCAGCAGGCTGGCGGGGGAGGGGAGGGTTTGAATGTGGGGGGGTCTCCCACATCCCAAGTGAGCGTTGTAACCACAGGGAGGTTCTCTTCCTCCTCCTCTGGCTTCTGGCAAAAAACGCCTTAGGCTCCTAACTCGACGAGATGGTTCACAGCTGACCTAGAGGGGGCCTCCTCCAGCCTGGACATAACACCAACTTCCTAGAGGGGTGGGCCTTAGGACATACACCGCTCTTTGGCAGCTCCCATTGGCTAGCTTGGGCAGCTCAGTGCGCTGGCTCCTATGAATCCCATTCCTAGGGGCCTGACTCCATTCATTCATTGTACAGGGAGCCTGAGTGCCAAACGCAGGTTGGGTTTAGTGTGCGGGTGCCGGGTGGTCTGTCATACCCAGGAGGTCAGACTAGATCTGGTGGTCCCCTCTGACCTTAAACGCTCTGACTCTAACTCAGGCTTCGGGAATCCCAGTGATTTTCTGGGCACCTAAAAGTCTGGCGTTGCAACATTGAGCGTCGCAGTGCCTAAATCCCCTTGTGAATCTAGACCAGAGTATCCAGAAAAGTGACAGCATGGTATGGAGTTCTGCATCCCTTAGGGGGGCAGCATTAGCGCTATGTTTTGTGTTCGTATTTCTGTGTTTACAGCACTTGTCCAGACTCTAGGCACATCAGTGATTTCAACAAACATTCAATAGAAAATGTTGGATTTACATTTACAAATTCAGTTAATAACACTTGGGCTGTTGAGCAAACCTCACTCAGCCTTCCTGACCATCCCAGCCACAGATCCACTGGGACCGTCTGCTCTCTCACCAGCAGCTTGGCTGTCTCAGAAGCTTGCATTTTTTTTTAAAAAGGGAGGGGGGCTTGCACTTTCCATTAGAGCAGGGATTCTCAAACTGGGGGTCGGGACCCCTCAGGGGATCGTGAAGTTATTATGTGGGGGGGTCGCAAGCTGTCAGCCTCCACTCCAAACCCCGCTTTGCCTCCAGCATTTACAACGGTGTTAAATATTTTAAAACATGTTTTTAATGTATAGGAGGGGCCACACTGAGAGGCTTGCTATGTGAAAGCGGTCACCAGCACAAACGTTTGAGAATCACTGCACCAGGGTCACCAGCACAAACGTTTGAGAATCGCTGCATTAGAGAACAGAGGTCCAGAGAGCCAAGGGGCCCTCGCAGCGAATGCCCTGCAAGCAGCTCATTCCTGTTTAAGCCAAGAGTGCTCCAGCTGGAGCACCTCTGCTGATCACTTCAGCGGTAACACCTGAGGGAGAAGAATAGCTTGAGCTGCAGCCAGCCCAAGGCTTGAAATCTGAGAGCTCTCTCCCCCTAGCGCACCAGGTAGCCACTCTTGACTCAGGGTTGTCTATACGTACAGTGCTGCACGCAGCTGTGCCCTTGTAGCGCTTAGTGAAGATGCTACCTATGCAGACGGGAGAACTTCTCCTATCGGCGTAAGTACTCCACCTCCCCGCGATAGCGCTGTCTACACCAGGAGTTCGGTCAGTTCAACTGCATCTCTCAGGGGTGTGGATTTACCCCTCCGCGGTGTGGTTATACCAACAGAAGTCTGTAGTGTAGACCAGGGCTCACTGACAAAGGGACTTGTTGGGTTGTTTGGAGCTGGTTTCTAAGCCGCTGCCTTTCTGTGCTGGGCAGCAGGAAGTGGCAGGTTGTAACATTTCCATGTAAAAAGCAGCCCATTGTAACGGGTCAGAAGAGAAATGCCCTTGTTCGGAAAAGTGCAAATGAAAGCAAATCTCGTGTTTCTGGACGGCCGAACGCCCCAAAACAGCTGCACTTTGAGAGAAAGACCTGGTCAAGCCTCAGTCCCCTTCCCCACCTCCTGAAGCTCAGCCTTTCACGGCCTGCTTAATCTGGAGAGAGCCTTCAGACTGAGCCCTGCAAATGCTAAGGTTCCCAGTGTGAGCCCAGTACCACCGGGCCTGCTCTGCCGAGTTCAGAGCCACAGATATCCCTGCAGTCGAGAGTTGCCATCCCCAGGGCCTGCTCTCTGCTGAATCTGCTGCGTGGCGTGTGTGTTATAGAAAGAGGAGGAATCTGACTGGAGGATAGAGAACGAGGAGCCAGGAATGACAAAACTCCAGCCCCCCAGTGAAACCGTTGAAGACGCTGTGTGCTGTCAAACGTTCGACAGAATGTGCTGGCAAGTCTAAGTGCAGCTCTTTCTCTTTGCAGACACTGAAGCTGCCTCAGGTGAAGGAGCCTCACAAGGCAGTAAGTACGAACTTCGCTGTGTGTGTGTGAGGGGGGATTGGCGCACGGCATGTGTGAGCGCATGGTGCGATGGCTGTGGGCATGTTCCGGGGCAGGCGGTTTACCTCGCAGCAGGTGAACATCTCTTTCCATTCTGTTGAGTGATACATCTAGGCTCGCTTGCGATGTGTTCCAGCTCTCACTGCAGTACTGGCATTGTGGAGTTTACATCCTAGCTTGTCACTCTCCTCCCGTTGCCCTGAGTTTGTGTGTCCGAGATCTTTTATGTGATGTCGGCTACTTATGCAGATCAGAATCGAGACATGGAGGGGCTGTGTTCAGCATTGCAGTCAGTCATGGGACCATTCTCTAACTTTAAAAAAGCCGCAGGTGAGTTGGATTGGAAAGTGACAGACGGGGATGACATCATCCCCTTTGTGAGAGGCCTGTAGTCCCCTATGAATTAAAATGGTACCCATTAATGACAACAATCAATTGTCTAGACAGCCCCTGGGTCTTTGTTTCAATCATGCCGATCCCTGTATCTGTCCTGATCTCTTGTGCCCGTGTGGGAGATCCACTTCACTGCACTTTTCCACAGCGTACCACAAGAGGGCAGCTTCCACTGTGCTAATGAGAAGCTGCGTTGGATGAGAGTTCTAAGAGCAGCGCAGGAAAGGTGCTTTCCCGTTTGTGGTAGATGCATAAAGCCAACCGAGCATCCCCTTTGTTCCCCCAGTGTTCTTATTTCTCTCGCTCGCTCCTCACATACATAGGGTATAACTTAGTTCTGTGAATGCAAATTTAACTACCTATTTACCCCAGTGCTTTGCTGCTGTATGACCTCTCGGACAGTTCTGACATTTGGGGCGATTTTGTCATGCACCCTTTTAAACCCCTTGAGTGGTGCCGAGCTTGTAGGGGGGCAAGGCCACAAGGGAATGGTGACATCTCAGTGTATCCTGAATTCCTCCTTCCTTCCATGCCCTCCCCAGTGCTCGGGCATGGTGTCATACGGGGATTGGATGACGATCACGTTGCACGGTCATTCGTGACCAAAGCAGTGAGCAGTATAAATTGACTCCCAGTTTGTAAAACGCTCTTCCTGACTGGGAACATACTCGGTGTTTTCAACTCTTAAGAATTTGTCAAGAGTCTTGAATTATTTAGTGTTTTTTTTAAAGCCACAGCTTATGGAGGCTTGTCATTCGGTGAGACTCTCAGCTTTCATTTAAAAAGGGAAGCAAGTTTCCAGCCATAGTAGTTGTAGAAAATCTCGTGATTTTTTGAGGCCTCACTCGTGGTACTTGAATGCTTGAGGCTGCCGACACGGCGCACTCCAGGGACCGGTATGGGTTCCTCAGACTTACTCTTCCCCTGTTGCTCCACTGAGTGACTCAGTGGTGTTATTTACCAGGTGTCTCCCTCTCCCATTCACAGTGGGCTCTTAGCTCAGTAATTCTTCTTTCATTCTTCAGTAGCTTCTCTGCAGCCCTCTGGTGCTTCCTTTTGTCCTGGGTGATCCCCCAGTGTCTTTCCAGCCTCTTATCCTTGTGCTGAATTCTGGCATGGAGAACAGCAGGCTCTGCTGCATTTTGGCAACTCTCTCTTTTGTTTTGTTTTGTTAAATGTCACCGGTTTAGTTATTCAGCCACGTGACTTGGCCATCAGACCCTTCTGTGTTTCCTGCAGTGCTTCGGAAACTCCCATTGCATGTTATGTGGGGAGGCTTTTGTATGCCTCACTTACTGTGAATTAAAATCCCACATTTTTGATCTGTGAAGTCAGAGGACACCGGGTATAGGAAGGCAGGACACCTGATGACAGCGAGGGAAGGAAAACCAGAAACGAAGGAGAAACTGGAGGGATTTAGTTGTATTAAATTATTTTGTGCTCCACATACAGTTTCCATTTGTCATGGAAACTATCTTCTCAGCTGAATATTAAGCTGTTCAGCTGGGGCGGCTCTTGGTCAATTCACAGGGTTCTAATTTCCGATAAAACTTTCCTTCCTCTTCCTCCTTGTTGCTATGATAAAGCTCCTCAGCTTTGTCATTTTCTCCCTTGTGGATGAATTGAAGCCCCGAGCAATACTGGTCTTCCCTGGATTTTCTCCGTTTCCCTCTCAATGGCCTTCTTGTTTCCTTGTCAGTCTGTTTGCTTCTTATTTATTTTAAGAACGTCTTATTTATCTTTCCTTCCTTGCTATTTTTGCTTTGCTTGCTGCTCCAGTCCCATCGCCCGTGACCCAATTTGGATCTTTACTCCCTTTATATTAACAGGCTTCCTTATTGTTTAAATCTTCCTTTGCTATTTTTACCCCATTGGCTACTCTAGCCTTTTGGGTTTCCTTATCCGTTAATTCTCTAGACACGGCTCATCCTCTTCCTTCCCAGTGCCTCAAGATTTCAGGGTGCAGGAAGCTGTTGTTTTCTCTCACCTTGTGAGAGCTTCCTGCTTTTCCCACAAGTACCCAACCTGCAGGAGTCTAGGGGTGCAATTCACACCCTTAAACTGTTCATGGGAACCCTCCTTTATGCAGCCAGAGGGCTTGCAATACCAGCTCAAATAACCACGGAGAAGCACCTCTCACTCAGAAATGCCAACCCCACCACATGGGGTGTCCCTTCCCTCCTGCTCTAAAGATTTTATTTGTGCTGATTATTTTTTGTGGTGACTCTCTGGAGCCAGTTGTCATTCATGCCAGCGAATTCCATGTGAAGTGTTCTCAGGAAGGGGACTGGAGTGAAATGCTCACTCTCAGCAGAGGACCCTGACGTGAACAGCCCACCCACCTAGGATCTGGTTTTGAGCTGTAGTTTGTCTGCTTGCTTTGTTGTGTTATCAGTATGGTAAATGAAGCTGTGAAGCAGTGTACCGCCCCTTGGTGTGCTGGGGGCGGGGAGGGAGATCGGAAGAACACTGGAGGAGGGAGTTCTGGCAGTTCTTCATGGGAAGGCAAGGGATGGGATACAGCTGAAACCAGTTAGCCTGCCTGCAGTCAACCGTAGGAAGGGAAGTACATGTTTAGAACTCCCGCCTGGAAAGAGCTCCGAAGACTCCCTTGTGGGTGAAGTGGTTGGACTCTTTGGAGGACTACACCTCGCTCTGGGGTTCTAAGATCGACTAGTAATCTCTGGGACTTGCATGTCAAGTGCCTGTTTTGACTCGGGTTCTCCTCTTAAAGGGACAAAGACCAAGGTTTTGAGGTAGAAGTGGTCTTGGGAAGGTCCTCCCTCCCAGGCTTCTGAGCAGAGTTCCCAGGGCAGAGAGGACAATGTTGTTGGTGGATCTCAGACCCAACAGGGTTAGAGTGTTAATAAAACCCTTGTTCAACTATTATAACATTCAATAATTATGTTCTAGGAAAAAAAGTTTAAACAAATTCTGTGTTTCACAGTTCTTCATCACAGGTGGCACTGGTAGTGACCCCGGTATTTAGGTTACCTCATACTTTCCATTATACACATTCAGCAGAGAGACAGCCTTTGGGCTAGAGGAGTGCCTCCTCTTTGTCTATGAAATTCCATTCCTGTTCAGCTGAGTTGTAAACTGTTCATGATCCCCACTTCCCCTCTGCCGCTTTGCATTCCACAGGGAAACACTGGCACCCTGCAAGAGACCTGCAAATGAATGTCCCAAGAGCTGGGGTGTCACAAATGCTGACCAGGAGCCCCACGCAGTGTTCTGAGAACTGCTGGGAGCTGCTGAAGTAGCTGTAGCTGCAGGGATGGGGGAGAGGGCTGGGATAGGCTCCTTGCTCAGTGCCAGCCAAACCCATTACCTGGAACATGGCCCAGGGTCCTTTCCCCACCTTAGTGAGAAGGGAGTTGGGCTGGGCCAGGGCCTCTTCCATCAACCACACCCTGGACCCAGCACATGGTGCCATTGACTCTTCCTCATCTGAGAGAATAGCTTTCTGCTGCTAACAGCTAGTGTAGTTAAGTCCTGTAGCTTAGGTAGCAGCAGTCTGTACGCTGATGCTGCAAGCTGCTTGGTTCAGCTAATGGTGCATGATGTGACGGTTGGTAAAGTTTTATGTAATTTTTTGTTTTTACCTTTTTTCCTTCCAGAAAAAGCATAGGAGGAAATTACATACAAAACAACAATATTAAAAGGAAGTATATTTAGGTTGAAAAGTCAAGCACTTGAAAGTTAGCCAATGCCAGTTTTATGGTTGCCCAGGCAATCTTAATTCAATCCCCGTGTATGTCTGAATTATGGAACAGTCTTTAATTACATGCCCACATGCTGTTTTTTCCAAACCCTGCCTCATTTGGTGCACAAGATGGACACACAAGAGGGCAGAATTAAGGTTGCCCATGCAATCAAACGTAGCATTTGCTTACTTTCAGCTGCTTATCTTTGCAAACTAAATAACAGTCATTGAAAGTAGATTTTTAAAATGTAATATGGGATTAAATATGGCATTGCCTGTCCTTGTTAGAGAAAAAGAGAGTCAGTTATAGAGGGTCTTCAGTTGCTGAAGTCCTCTTCTGTTCCCTTTGATACAAAACAAGACATACAAATCTCTCTTCTGTCTAACTAAGGTAACTCCAAAGAGCACTAGCCTATGCGGGAGGGCCGGGGGGAATATTAAAGATCGAAAATACAATTTCTGTCTATGCCTTCTTGATTGCAACCTAGCTGCTGGGAAATTAATCTCAGTACATGATCTTATTAGCCACTTTGAGACCTGGAAAGCTTTTACCAGTCTTGGACTAAAAGCATTGACTTCAATAGAGCAAGGAGCTACACCAATTTATGCTAAGTGAAAAACTGTCCCTTTTTTTTCAGCTTGCCTTTTATTAATCACAGTTACATTAGGTGGATTTTCCTTGGTGGCTGTGCCAGGCTCTTACTAGACAGAAGGCAAAAAGAACGTAGGAAAGAGAAGGAATGAGGTGTTGTTTAGGATTCAGCCAAACCTGATGGAGCTGGTGTTGCCACATGGTTTGTGTTCCTTACCTCAGTGGGTTAGAACATTTTGAGGATCAGGAAAGCGATGACCCGGCCGCACA